TGGCAATMAAACATCTTTCTTTAGTTTTTCTTGTTCATTTGTTCGTCATGGCAGCAATGGCTTGTTCTTCACGTTGAATTCTCAGTCATCTGGTTGTACAACCATTGAATGTTAATTCTGTTCTATTGCCCACTARTTTTAACTGAAAAGGTTTTAGTTGTTTCACCGATATGCCGCTGTGTGCAATCTACTGGCAGTTTTTGATATATCAGCACGTATTGTGTTTGAAAAAGTTCGAGTTTATCTATAATTCTTAAAGCAACTCAACATGGTGAACTGAGCATTTTGGCTGCAAATTTGTTTTTTATTTGTGTTGGTATATTTAAAATGTGCCAGGTTATAAAACGTTTGTAGTGACAAGCAAATTTACAAAAACCAGTTTTTCCAGTCTAAACCAGTTTTTCCTGTCTAAACCAGTTTTCCTGTCTAAACCAGTTTTTGTTTAAGGCAGGAAACTATAGAGGACATTAACATCAATTGTAAGATTGCTTGTTTGGCTGCAACGGCGAGGCTGTATTTAAGTATATTATTAATTTATTAATTTTTTTTACTATCAGCGGCCTACAAGCATGCCGATGGAAAGAAGATTGACGGAAGGAGGATTGTTGTGGATGTAGAAAGAGGGAGGACTGTGAAGACTTGGCGACCAAGAAGACTAGGTATAGCTCCCCCCTGAATGCATGTTTTCGAAATTTAAACAACTTTTTATGCTGATTCCAGGGGAGTGCTGGATTGTTTCAACCCTCACAATGATCCCAGCTGTAACATGAATTGTAAATCTTTTCAGGAGGAGTACCCCCCCCCCCCCCCCCCCCCCCGTTCACATGTTTTAACTTCACTCATTTCACTTATAAAAACTATATTTTTTATGTTTTCAGGAGGGGGTCTTGGTGGCACTCGTATTGGTGGACCAGATCAAAACGTGAAGCATTCTGGTCGTGTGGATAATGCAGACCGATACAACGAAGAGAGGTTTGTCTTCCTGTAAACAAACAAACAAGACACCTGTTATAACGAACACTCTCTTATTTCGGACACCCTCTTATTCCGGACACCCTGATGAGTGTACTGAAAATAACCTTCACAGCGGCCACTCGTTATTACGGTCTCCACGGTGTCTGCTGTAATGAGAGCAAATTTGAACCACATGTRAAAATCYACACRTCAAGTTTTCTTGTCTCTGATTTTATTTCCATTTCATGAACTTATTGGTTTCTTTTCTTGTGTTGTAGGGGCGATCGTGACCGGGACCGGGACCGCGAAAGACGCGAACGCGAAAGAAAAGATCGTGAAAGAGATCGTGGTGATAGAGATCGTGGTGACAGAGATCGTGAACGGAGAGAGCGTGACCGSTTTAAGGAGCGTGACAGAGATCGCGACAGACGTAGACGCAGTCGGTCACGCGACAAGGATCGTGACAGGTAATTAAATATATTTATATGACATATTTATATCTCAACCTGGGCAACTAGAACAATCGTTCTTCTTTTGATTTTTCAGGGATCGTGACAGGGAGAGACGGCGTGACCGTGACAAAAATGATCGTGATCGAGGCGATCGTGAACGTGGCGACCGCGGCGACCGCGAAAGAAGAGATCGAGACCGTGACAGGGACCGAGAGAGAGAAGAYCGTGACAGGGACGGCTACCGTGACAGGGAAGAGCGTGACAACAACCGTGATTATGAGCGTGACTCGGAACGACCTAAAGAAGAACCAGGAGAATACGGGGAGTATCCTAACAACAATTCAGTGCATAACAACGCAGACATGGAAATGGTGGACTAGAAACTAGTCATGTGACTAAATCACGTGATAACATAAGCTTCAACGTCACGTGACTGTCACCATTATCACGTGGTAATAGGYTTGATTTTTAATCCAGTMGACTGAGAACTAGTTATGTGAAATGTCTTGAATGACACGTGACTATTTCTTACYTTTTGTTGTCACGTGGTYTCTWAACGWTTTTTAATCCGTAAGTATACTAACTGGGCTTGAAACTAGTCATGTGACTATGTCAYGTGTCAAAGATTGCARTGACAYGTGGGCTTGATTTTGTTATATTWTATATATAACGTGATTGTCGTGAGTGAAGTCGACGTCATAAATATCGTGTTTATAATAATGTACGAAGTACTAACCCCTAAATGTTGAATGTTTAGAACACAACAAAGTCAACAGCTTTACACTTCCAATAACCATTTTGAAASTAAGCTTAGACCGAAACGACGGTTGACCTTGCAGTGACAACTGTACTCGCACTTGAACAGGTTGCAAGCTCAACTGYCGTTTGCACAGCTTCCATTTAAAATAGTTGCTGGAAATGTACGGACGAAATGTTGAMAGAGAAAATGTAGATTAATAGGAAGACAATKAATATTTGGTGTCATTACTCGAAATAACTTTTTACCGATGTCACTCCGAGTTCCGAATACGGACCGATACCATTCCGACAAGATCGTATCGACTCGGAGCTTTTATCACTTAAAAGTAAACCTGTAACTCTTCTGTTTAATAGATTAAACATTTTTTCATCACTAGATTTAATTGTATTAAAACGTTGGAATATTCTCGMAAATTCACAATATCTTTGCGTAGGTCAGTGGTTAGAATAATCATTTCATTCACAAAAACAGCGATGAAGCGATATGATTATTAACTCTTATCCAGTTTTACCCCGACGCACGCACCCATATTGATTTTATTGTATAGACTCCGATAAGACTTGTTATGTAGTAAAAGAAATGTTCAGTGACGTCACGWTGCTGAGTAAGGCATGATGGGTAAACGTCATCCTCGTAATTATTTATGACCATCAGAACAATCCCTCAAAAGAGATGAAAAATCTAGAGCTTATAAGATAAAAGTATTACAAAGAAACGTTTGCCATATATAAAACAGACCTTGTCAACTTTTCCTTTTTTACTCTGATGAAAAACCTCTCTTGTCCGTTTTTACTTTAGCGAATTTCGCATTGTTATCAGTTTTTGTTTCACTGTTCAAATTGCTCTTCCTGTGTAAACGGGCTGTGATTATTGTCGCAATAATGAGACCGTCGAACCACACGAAGTTGAACTCGCTCTGCAAAAATTAGCATGCGTACATACGGTTTATTTTCAAAATTTTACGAGTTAACGCTAGATGAAATTCAGGCTATGCAAAAATGAGCATGTTCTACATTTCCCCTGGATTGCTGGGTAATATTAACGGCAGCTTGACCGGGCATTTTCTCCGCGTATAACCGATCGGGCGTTTTATTACCAGCATGGCCTTTGTAATGTAAAATACCCTATCAATGATATGAACCCCCTATAACCACCTCTATGGCACCAATTTGCATACTAGGCTGRAATTACTACTTAAATATGTAATATCCCCGTTCGGAGATTCTTACTACTGTATACCGACACGCCGATATTTAAGTCAAAGGACCTCGGGACCTGATCACTCGGTAAATATCCCCGGTAGTCTGAGCGAGAACCAGATAGTAACTTAAAGCCCGGTATTGTCCTCTAACGACATAAACCCTTTGATATCCCGTTAATACATTAAATCCGGTAGTATACGGTGACATCTTTAAATCTGGTAGTCCCCCGGGATTTATCGCCCCGWTGTTGATAATCACAACTTTGTCTGTAGAATAGTTTTAATTCGAATCCAGATTCGTACATGTCTGCCGGCAGTATGCTCAATAATTATCACATTATATCATAATTTCCTATAGATTTCTATTCACTAGCAGCCATAATTAATAACTTAGAAAAAATTTACCTCTTTGGCCTTAAGTACTGCGGGTTAACCCGCAAAATATCGAGACTTAGTCCCGCGCGAGAGCATTATAATTTCGAGAGGTTTAAAAAATACTGTGKTTTTTTTCTGAAAACACTAAAAAAGGATAAGAGGCAAAATATCTTAAAACCAAAAAACGAGATATTTTGGAATAAATAATCGAAATAATGTGTTCTAGAAATGACTAAATTATTCGCTAATCTCCAAGAAAAAAGTATAATGTCTTCAAGARTAAAAACCGTATTTTACGGTAATTTGATAATTACAAACAACGACTAACAGTCGTAAATCACTTGAACAGGATTATATAAGTCTTCGTAGGATTTCCGACGTCCCGACGATGTCCCGAATGCTTTCGGAATTTCCCGAACTGCGTCCGAACTTTAAGATCCTGAAAATTTATCATATCTTCGACCTGTTAATAATTGATAGTGTTGTTATAAAAAGAGATTTTTTCCACGTATATTTTTATCGATTCCTTTGCTAAATTGACACTAGGTCGATTGATGTCTTTTTGGTCGGTAACCCGTAATCTGTAGAATACTTTTAGCAATAATATTCTGATAATTTTATCTCGTAGAAGTGGAATCGTTCTTAATATTCAGCGTCATTGGCCTCATCTTCATGTTTATATATGTTGGATGGCTTTGTATTAGACGACGTTTTGTGAGAATCTCTGATTTTGTTGACTACCGAACCCTCACRTTGGTCTGAGCACGAAAACAGCTCTCACCCTCGAGCTCACGCTGCCATTATACTGGATATTAAATATTTTCGGTGAATGGCAAATATTTCGGCATGTTGCTACACCCCCGTTTCATACCTTGGGATCGAGTTGGTCAAAACTGCGGTATCTGCTTTATTAAGCAGGTCGCGTTCTTTGAGTGAATTTGATTGAACGTCCTCCATTTCGATTCCCACAGCATCGGGTCCGTTCAGACCATTTTGATCGATAGCTTCGTAYTGAGCCTTTAGCCCCCATTGATTTCCTATATGCGTGGACTTCTTCTCATTATCATTTTCCTGTCTCTCTCTATCATCACTTTCCTCTTTCGCCTTTCTTTCAGCCTCTTTCTTTTCTTTTTCCTTTTTGCTCAATTCCGCGGCACGCTGTTCATTTTCGCGATGATAAAAGTAGTTAAAATTCGAGACAATTACTGGYACAGGCAGTGCTATAGTAAGGACCCCCGATATCGCACATAGTGACCCCACCAACTTGCCCCATAATGTTATCGGCCGCATGTCTCCGTATCCAACCGTTGTCATAGTAACAACGGCCCACCAGAATGCATCGGGAATCGATCTAAAGTGTGTCCCYTTCTCTCCCCCCTCTGCATAATAAACAGCAGAGGAGAATAATATAACTCCAATCAGTAGAAAGAATATAAGTAGACCGAGTTCTCTTAAGCTAGCACGAAGAGTATGACCAAGGATCTGRAGCCCTCTGGAGTGTCTGGACAGCTTGAAAATCCGGAAGACCCTGACGAGACGGATCACCCGGAGCACCCCTAATGAAGATGCCTTTGTGTCCTGCATGGGCAGCGTAATGTAATATGGCATAATTGCCACTACGTCGATCAGATTCAAAAACGATCGAACAAAGACCAGTTTTTGCGGCGACGAAATCAGTCTCATGACGTATTCAAATGTAAACCATACAATGCATGCTGTTTCCAGCGAAAACCAYGGCTGATCAAATCGTTCATTCTCTAACTCKGTGCCATTCACCGATACCTTYGGTTTCTGGAATTGCGGGAGCGTTTCCACGCAGAAAGTTACAATGCTTAATGTTATGACAAATACAGAAAAAATCGCCACAAATCGAGCTGCAAGTGAAGTATCCGGGAATTCAAACAATTGCCATACTTTTCGTTGCCATTTATTTTCCGGCAATACAGGTTTTTCTTCTTCGATRTAACCCTCCTCCTGTTCGACTTTATGCAACACGTCGTCACCCAGCTCATAAAATCTTATTTCATCCGCGAAAACGTCCATAGGGACATTAGCAGGTCGCAGCAATTTACCGCCGGATTGGTAATAAAACAATATCGCATCAAACGCTGGTCTATTACGGTCAAAAAAGTATTCGTGTCTCAAACTGTCATAGTAYTTGGATCKTTTSGCCTCGTCCCCTAGCAATGTGTCAGGATTTTGCTCCAATGTTTCGATGTGTGTTTCAAATTTCAGTCCGCTCACGTTGATTACAACACGATCGCTCGTCTCGAGACCGTGCCCCGTATTTCGGGGCACCGTTAGCTGAGGTACACGGGAGCGGTTATGATTGTTAGATCGTCCATCGCTGTAGCACCCTGGGCCCTTTTTATCCGGTGAGGCTGTGATTGAAGGCACTCCAGAAATAGCGTCCATCGTTGAACGTACCTCACTCACTTGAGCCCATGAACCTACCGGATGTGAAAGAAAAAAAACGTATTGTATTAGCTATTGTTTTATATCGACATTACAGGGTCTAAACCACGGAATACCTTTGTTATGATATAGGACATTCTACGACCCATTTTACGAGGGAAAATCGTCGTTTTCTCTCATATAAACAGGCATTTTCTTCGCACCGACTCGTTCGAGCAAAAGCTCTGAAAATCATTAATAATTCACCGTTTGGGCTTTATTAATTCAGCATATATTATAGGTCTTCATACAAACACGGCGAATAACAGATGTAAACATAGTCCTTGAAAATCAACTCGATCAAATCCCTCAACGGCTTTCAAATTCCAATACCAAAATTCAATAATTCCTTCCATCGTAAAAAATACCACTTTAACTCGCATGGAAGCGAGAAATACAAACTGTAATTCTAGCTAGAATAAAAAATGCCAACCTTTAGGGCAGCTGTTTTTAGCGCAGTGTGTACGGATTGCTCCTAGCTACTGAACTACTCACTCGGCATTCAGCTTACCGTATGTTGTGGACTAGCAAGACGAATCTGCCGAGTTACGATAGCAAACCGGCCGCGATATCGGCCGAGCTTTGGACAAAGAACCGCCAGTGCTTAATATACTACAATTCCATCTCGATAACATCGCAAATTCATGTGAATTATTTCACAACAGGCAAACAGAAGAAAGCGATCGTACAATTCCATCATTGTCGCCGAGTCGAACGGTCGCAGTGTTTGAATTTCGTGTTCCAAGTATAAACTCCAGTTTAAGTCTTTTCTTTTAACTTCAGTTCGCTTAAATATACTCCTTGTTCTTATCTTGCAATAGTAAGTCTTAAAAGCAGTATTTGGAGAGGGTAATTTTGTAGTAGACCCCGTGCAAGCAAACAGCCACAGTTCCACTGACGACTACGCAAAGCCAGTCTCTTCAACGTCTCAAAATGCGGCTAACCAGACTTTACAATGCTCTCAGCTCAAGATAAAAATCACAAATTKGCTCARTGTTACTGAATTGAAATCCCTCATGTCAAAAATAGGCTTTTAAATAATGTCCTTTTCTTTCAGTCCTCATTCACCAAAGGTTTTACGAACCGAACCGAAATTTGCATCTTCAAATTTGTAAACCTGTTGCCCCCAAGTGCGTCAAAACATCCCCTACCCCTCACCTGGTTAGTCATTTTGTCAATCTGGCCGGAGTCTCGTATTTCTACTAAGTAGCGAAATAGATAAGCAATATGTCGTTAAAATAACTAGCTTTGTTGTGTTTTTAGGGATAATAGCATTCTTATAATAGCAAGGAATCTGTTTACTGAAAAATAATTAGCGTAAATTTTGAGTAGGTCCACTCGAAAGGCATGTAATCTTAYTTTATGAATTCTTTTCTTGTAAAATACGTATTTTCGACTTTAGGAATAAAACTTTGACAAGTTGAATCCGTTTTAACAAGCATTCCAAACAGAAAAAAATGTAGATTATTTGGAGTCGAATATTATAACACAATTCAAAGCAATTTACATTTGTAAAAATATTTGTATTTTTTTTACTGAAAATCAGGCCAAATAAACTATGCGTTAATTTCTGCTTTTTCATTTTTTTTTTTTCATTTTCTTCACTTGTATCAATTAGTGTCGGAACTATTTAGAAATGAAATCATTTGTATTTACTCGTRTTTACCGAAAGTTTTGAAAAGATAAAATTACAATAATTTTTACAAAATAGTTTTGTTGGTCTACTAAGCCGGTTTTTTGTTTTGGACTCAGTCGCAAACAAGATATTTACCTAAACGTTTGAAATTAAACTATTGCTTGTGTCATTTTCATTCTAATTCAATGTTCTTTSAATTCCCCTAAAATAACCGCAAAAGTCTACGTTTTTTTAAATGGCGATACTTCTAAAATGTACTATTTTTGAAACTGGACAAAAATAGATTTACAATAGAACTTGACATAATATTATTTCTTGGTATTTGATAAATGGCTAAATATTGGTGCTAAGTTTTGACCTCACAAAYGAAAATATTTGTCAAATTTATGGATCCTTTCCAGGAATTAAGAAGTGTTTGTTGAAAACCACTGTCCAAAAATTACATAAGCACGAATTTTATCCCTTGACGATTTTTACTTAGGGGGTGGGGGTGGGGATATTAGTTGTACCTCCAATAAATAATATGTTTACATTTTAGAACCATTGGTGCTTCGTCTAATTCTGTGTTTTATTCATAAGAAGAGTGTTATTCCTGAAATGCCACCCGTCATGCCGAATTAAGAGATAAAACTACGGCTTCTAAAAGCAATATTTTAGAATACATGATCGACGGAAATGTATTCGAAATCGAACGGATTCGAACGTTTGATCATTCGAACATACTGAACGTTTTTTGCGCGGATTTCTATATCATATTGATGGAAGTATTCAAAATGCTGGACTGATTTATGTTAAGGTGATAAAACCATGGTTTCGAAGTGATAGTGGCTTGGCAGCCGAAAGTGGTAAAACTGAGACCTCAAATACCCGAAAAATAACAGGATCAGCTAGACGATTCAAACGTACCGACCCCCAACATGTCCCAAAAACCTTGAATAATTATCAGCCTGACAAATTAAACTTTAAACTGACGGGGAATCATTTTTCCGTGCTAAATAACTGTAAATTGCTTTTGACATTTTGTTCGGCCGCCGAACCACTCTGCGTTTAGGACAACTCCGAAAAGCCACGTCTGGTTTTTCTATCGGAATGCACCTGTTTTCACCAAATTTTCACTATACGTTTTATCRCTAATTTCGATATTTATCAATTGTTGGCTTTGTTTTGTCAAATGCTTTCGATATACCGAACACATTTTGGCTAGAGAGAACAATAGCTTAATTGAAAAATTTTAAAACACAATGCAATTAAGATCAGTTAAACACAGAACGAATCTATTCAAGCGCGGGCGCTTCTATCACCCAGCTACCTACTGTAATTTTTTTTTTTTTTTTCAAAACAGCGTCTTATAATTCGACAATCAGCTCAATCTTCATTTTCCTAGGTTTTAAAATTTCCACTGGAAAATATCTTCAAATATATGCAGAAATCTATCTTTGTAGTACAAATATAGACGTACAAATACTAAGCAAGTTTTGGCTACGTTATTTGAATCTGGTTAAAGTTACGAATGAATCTATATCATATTCAGTTGGTACAAAAAAAGTCAGTTCATGCAACTTTAAGCCGTGAAATTTTCTTCGTGATACACCGCCACWATTTATGTACCCACAATTTGAATTCTAGGCTTGTTTTACCACACATACTATCATTATTATTTATGTTATATGAACTATAATGCTAAGGAAGAAAATATATTTAGTGTATATAGCTTCTACTCTCGACTCGCGTATAGTTTTTAGATTCCATTCATCACTAGAGATGTTACTATGCCTGGAAAATTCATAATTACTATTTGTAAACCTACCATTCCAAAATCATTAATAAACATTGTTCCCAAATGTGCGGGAAATAAACGCTTTCATTCACATGTAATCCCCAAAGGCCATGTCGGGCTAATTTAGAAGATCCTTGCTAAAGCCATAACAAGAGCTAATATGCTAACTAGGATCTTTCCTGGTTCTTAAATATAAATGAATTAAAACAATGGCAGATAGCCGATATTTTTCTCTTTCTTTTTTTAACAGTTTTGGAGACAACCTATGGTGCATTTTCATATCACAAAAACCGGCCTATAGCACGGTTCTATAAGTCACCTCGGTTTTTCGATATTGTGTTCAATATCTTTTTCTTAGAGGGGGAAGGGTGTGGTGGGTTTAGTAGGTTGTCATCACGAACAATAGCACTTAAACACCTTAAATCTAAGTTACAGCAATTGAATAAAGTAAGRCGAAACAGCCATGACGTTTGCCAGTTTCAGGTCGACTAGAGTGTTGTAATGTGCAACGTATCTCAGTAATGTCAGCAATATTGGATTGTAAACATATCCTACATCTTTTTATGAGAAAATAAAACATCAAAARTGTGAGCAGTACTAACCGAATAGCGTTAAATTGCGATAAATTGTATAAATTACAGAATAGAAAACAAAGGAATTCACGAAATTCAGTACGTACTTCTATTTTTAAATAAAATTAAAAAAATAAAATTAAAATTCCTAAAGTTTTATTCTATGTCAGATATTATTATCAAGTTCACAATGAGAATTCAAAACTGAAGAATTAAAGATTTTTGCTCATTTAGGCATCATAAATTTATGTACACCTATATTTCATAAATTATAACTGCATCGTCATGAAGCCAGCATGCAACACAGTCTTGGCTTAATTCTAATCATTCCAATTCGAAAATCCGCGCGAGTTCAAGTTGAGGTCAAATACTAATTCGTCGAAAGTTTTTCAAGAAGATATCTTGTAATTACGTTTCAATTCATTTGGATTATAATTGAAAGCAAGTAAAAATTTCCGACGCCATCTTGAAAGGCAACAGTGTCATTGTACTGAAGTGATATGGTTATTAAGCTTCCTTTAATCAAGTTCTATGTGCAAAAAAACGGTATCTATCACTTCAGCAAGCTTAACTTCTATCCTACTTCAATGCAAAGACACAGTTATTTTTCAAGATGGCGGCGGGCGGGTAACAAACCGAAGAACGTCATGACGTTGCTGGAGAGATGGTCATTTAAAAATGCATCAATAGTCTCCTTCACGGTTCCCTGCAGCCGTGCCTTTGCATCTAAGCGAGAYAGCCGGTGAGTTTGTGATGATAGAACCCTGTGAATAATTGTCTGTAGGTGTGAAAGAAGGTTTCTACCATTGCATGCTCAACGGTTGTCTCGCTTCGATGCAAAGGCACGGCTACCTTTCAAGATGGCGCAGAGAACCATGAAGGAGCCTAGACACATGTGAGATTCGAAGTAAAAACGAACCTTTTAAGCATCGGTCAATTTCCATTGATTGATGCATTAAAACCTTCAAATGCCGTAATCATAGAGACCATTAATAGACGATTCGAATAAAATA